TGATACTCTAAAAATTTCCACGTACTAAACATAAAGACACTAAACTATCCGTATCAGATAACGTAAACTAAGTGAGATAAAAAATGCTTTTTTAAGGATAATTTAAGGAGTCGATTTTAATTTTCATTTCAATATGCATCAAAAAAATAAAGAGACATTTTTACCATTTTGGATTCAAAATGACAAACAAACAATTCGGAAAAGAGAAATATTATATAAAAACAAAAAAAGAAAAAAAAAAGACGAAAGAAAAGAATGAAACCATATGAGTAAATTAGTAAACAGATATGAAATTGAAATTTTAAACATTACGCGAACAAAACAACTCATTTTTCTATTATACTGAAATCTCTAAAAGAACTGAAAACTAGTTAAAATCATATGAGAGTACATTTAAATGAATATAGTGCATAAACGAGGAAGAAAGTAATTAATTGAGGAAAAGTGATCATTTACGCTTGTTTATATATTAACAATTACATCAAAACGAACATATTAAATTATGCAAAGATGAGAAAAGTAAGAAAAAAAAAAAAAGAAAAAACCAAAAAGAAAATTTTGAAGTGATGTTAAAAAATAAAAATGTTTCTTTTTTGGTGCAAAAGATGTGAAAAATTATTATGAAAAGCATGAAATACAGAGAAGTGAAGTAGTGAAAAAATAGAATGCTATGATGTTATCCCTTTCCCTCTTTTCTCTCTCTCTTTCTTTCTCTCCCTCTCTCTCTCTCTCTCTCTTTCTAAATGAAACAAAAAGAGAAATGAAAAGTGGAAGCAATAAAGATAGCTAAGAAGTGCAACCTTTAAGCCATCCTATATGTTTAATAAGCATAGCTCGAGTTCTAAAAGCTTAGATTTGAGTTTGAGTTGTTTTATAAAGCATCCACCATCCTCTAACATTCTTCCTTTCTTTCAATTATTCCTGTCAACCACTCTTCCAATGCTTCAATAATATCTTCTCAACATTCCCAGTATATTCTCTATTTACTTCCTGTAAACTAAACATAACACTCTCTGTTTTACTCATCTATCTGAAAGTTTAAATGAGCAAACATCTTATTAGTGTGAAAGAACTTCGACCATTCTATCATTAAAATTGCTCACTCATTTATAGCACGAAAAAGGATCAAAACAACACTGAAATTCGTATTTACATAATTGAAAAATTGCATTCCTAAAAGTAAAGATTAATTATTTAAGACCATTAAATGCTTCCAATTTTCTATAAATAATATGAAACAGCTATTCCTATTACATTCCAACGATATCCTAGTATAAAATTATTATGCAACAGTAACGGAAATTTAATAGCAATAGAAAATAATAGACTGAAATTTTAAATGGGAAAAATATGAACTTGAAAAAGACAAAATGTAACCAAACATGTAAATTAAAAAATGAAGAAAGACTGATTAAAGTGCAACTATAGTAAATCCCTTCTTTTCTAGCATATATATATGTATGTGCTAGAAAAGTGCAATACTAAATAGATTTGCATCAAACTTTCACTTTAATATACATTAAATAAGTTATGCTAGACTATCACCTTTAATCTATGAAAACATACTTATTCAATATTTAAAATTTCATTACTAATAGAAATACAACAAATGTTCACTTAGACATTAGGGCATTTTCTATTCGCTATGACATTGCGCCTTCACGAGATGATGGTGTCTGACCTATACAGCATTACCATGACCATTGAAAGATAACTTTTCGTTCAGAGCTAGATAAATTCAGGAAAAGTTATCTGCTCTGATATGGTTAAGATTACTACCTTTGTAATATCTAACTTTTTTTTTTACATATATCTAATTTTAAGCAAATAAGAAGCATACAGAAAAGACTTTCTGAAATTTTGAATTATTTCAAATCTGAAAATGTGTCGTCCATGACAAAGATTTCAAGGATTAAAGTGCAAAGAAAGTAAAAATTTAAAAATTACGCCAGTCCAACTCATTCAACCGATAAATTAAGAACAAAACACTAATTCGCAAATATAGTATCCATACCGATCGATATGATACAAACTTCCGGATTTGTATTATATTCGAAATCCATCACACCTAAAATTCCAGTATATAAATTATGGAGAGTTTAGCACAGGCACATAGAGCTGCTGATAAAACAAGAAGGTTAAACAACATACATAGGTTTTTATTGTCTTAGCTACTTCACTTCCAAGTGTTTATTCTAAATTTCTGAGTATTAGAGAGAAAATACTAAATATGTAATAAGTATGAAATTCAAACCATCATCATTTTCATTGCCATTAGAATTTGTTCCCATTCCATCATCTGTTTCAAGTATAGTACTACTAATATTCTTACTAATATTACAATCTTCATCCTCTATCGTTTCTTCCATATCGAGCGGATCATCACACTTCATTGTTTCACTTCACGTCCTTCTTCACAATTCTCCCAAGCAAAACTTCTACAAAAACAGTTTAGCTTAAGTAAATTAATCAAATTTGTGGAATATATATACGATTGTGATGACGATAATCGTTCTTAGAAAATATCTATAATGTTAATAAACTAATGATAAGGAATCGAGCATGTTAAATCCATGCTTTTTTTATAATTTATTAACCGTCATATAAAACTTGTCATAACAGTTCTATATAATTCTTGGTTAAATAGTAAATGTTGTAAATGATCGAATTTTGTTCGCACATATTATATGAAATTTTTTTGAAAGTGTATTTTTGATTGTGAAGACAATAATCGAAAATATCAAAACTTCAAAACTCTTATGCAATAATAAGAATTAGCATACATTTTACTTTTTACGCAACTTTCGTTAATTAACTTATATTTTCATTCTATTTAATCACAACCAATCTACGTCATATAAAACTACACTCCTAATTATGCTAAATTATTCAACACAAATATAAAAGTATCACATCAATCAATAGTAAAATTAGTATGACATTTTTGCAAGCAGAAAATTATCATAAGGCAAGATATAAATAATCATAATATGCATGCAAAGATATGGCATGCGACAATGACTACAATTTTAATATTGAAAAAAAAAAAAAAAAACGATGACATCAGTGATATATCAACATGAAAAATTATAATTAATTTCATATTGAGAAACTTACAATAACAATGACAATAATATTCACTATTCTTTGATAAATTATCAATTAATTTTTAATCTAAAATTATTAGAATCAAATCTAATGCTTTCTTAGTTCATCCACAACTTTTTTTTTCTTATGATAATAATCTACTCTATATACATATATAATTAATAAAAAAAATCTCCAAGTTCCATTTTAATTAGAATTGGAATGAAATTAAAATAAAAAAAAATTATATTATACAACACAATAAATGAATACAATCAAAATGTATAATAAAATATTTTATCATTGGCATTGTAAGAATAAAAAAATAATAATATATGAAAGAATATAAAAATGCATCTATTACTATCCCAACAAAATGGTCAACTTTAACTTTCTTTAATGTTCTACCAACAATGCTACTATACTTCTTCCTTTCTCGTCTTTTTTAATGCATAATTATTCGTGCAAATTTTTTTTTTTTTTTTTGTTTTGTCTTCTCTATTCCAATAGAAAAGTTTGACAAATAAATATGCAAGCATGACAGAAATATATTTGCTTATTAAATGATGAGTAAATGAAGGATAAGAAGGATGAAAAACTGAACTTTTCCAATAACTTTAAACTTTAAAAAGGAAAAAAAATCACTAACATTTTCATATATACTTTTTTTCCATAAAAATTTCATACATTTTACCATATTTAACCAAAATTCATTAATATTTCATATGTTTTACCTATTTTCTTACCTTTTCTTTTTTTTTTCACTCATACCAACAACACATATGCAACAAAATCCATTAATGGATATTAGCATAGCATGTGAATATGACGACTACAAACAATAACAGCACACAAGAAAAATTAAGTAATCCACGTCAATCAATATTTATTTTTCAGTTCTTTTCGTTCTTCGCTTTAAATTACATAAAGCTAAAGTAATTCATGATAAAGTAAGGTCAATTTAAGATAAGACAAACAAACACAAAATCTAAATGATAGGTAATCAAGACACGTGTAATACGTTGAATAAGACACGCATTCATACCTACATACATACATGTACATATATATATCAGTCATAAAACATGTACATAGATATACGCATAACACACATACACATACACATACACACATACACACACACACATATATATATATATATATATACAAATATACATACAAAGAGGAATCGATTTGTCCGAACTTTTCTAGAAAACATGGTAATGCTTGCTGGGTAGTGATGGTGACGCGAATTTGACTTTTGTCATAAGATTAAAATTATCTGTTATGTTCAACCTATGAAATTGGTCAGTATGATAAGAAAGAAAAAGGAGGGGGAGAGAGAGGAGAGGGGGAGAGAGAAAGAGAATAACATTAACTGATATATCTAATATGCCCATTTACATTATTGATTCCTTAAAGCTAATTTATTTAAATCTAATTAAATGGAAAATCTTTTTAACGTTCATAATTCTAAATCATAACAACTACCACTCTCTTCCTCCTTCTTTTCTTTCAAAGGATTTCAAAATTTACATAATGTTTTATTAAATCAAACCTAACAAAAAATTGATGCCCGAGTAGTAATTTGTGGATGGACGGAGACATTTTTTCGTATATTAATTGAAGAATACTAATTTCAGATTGTATTTACATTTCTTATCGTAAACATAAATTTCTTCATTAAATTGATATTACCATTGAGGTAAACATATTCATTTGATCAAAATCCAATTGATAACTGTATAATGTAGTGATAATACATTGATAATTTGGTTTTATATAAGGAAAGTTGAAAAAAAAAAGATATTAAATAAACAAATAAATATTAATTAAAAATAAACATTATAATAAATATCAAATAAACATTAGATATATTTCAGACATATTTAAAAATACGTGAAACGCTTATAATGTCATCAAAATTTGGACTTGATTATGCTAAACGAGTTGCCAAATGTAAGAAATGTCAACAACAGCTATTAAAAGGAGTCGGTTATATGTTTGTTTGGATTAATACTAAATGATAAAAACGAATGAAACGTGTATTTTTAATCTTAGATTATTATTTTGTAATGTACAGCGGCATATAATAATGAGCAAAATACAATTCTTCTCATTCCAAGTATGACATTTGTATGTTTGTTGTCATATTTCTGTATGATTTTTTTTTTTTTTTTTTTTGACAGCCATCTTATACTCACACATATTTAATCAGAATATCTTATATATATTTAACTAATAAGTATTTAATCAGACTATTTAATTTTTATCTGTTCAGCAAATTCAGTTTAACAAAATTTAGCTAGTAATAGAAAATGCTAGCTGAAATAAATATTGTGAATTACTTTTTTCAGTTTTTTATTTATTTTTTTCTTTTCTAGGATTTACGAATGTGGAGAATGGTGCCTAATCCTTTCACAGCAGATTCTGGAAACCCAACAGAAATGAAAAATTATTTTCATCCTGATTGCCTTTTTGAAACACTTATACGTTGTCGTGCTACAACGAAGATCATTGATTCACCAGATGATATCGAAGGTTTCTTGATATTAGCTAATAGCAGTTTTTATAATAGCAAATTTCTATTTATTTTTCTGTAAGGTTATGGTCTTACAGGTTGGGATATTGCAAATGATGATGACAAAGAAGCCATCATAGAGAAAATTAGGAATCTTTCGGAAATACGATTGAAAAAGTTTGGAGATAAAGTGAAAACTTCAATATCATCTCCTTCAAAAGACTCTATCAAGCCAACCGTTACTAACGAAATATCTCCGAAAAAAGCAAAAGGCGAAAAAGTGAAGACGCCTACGTCTTCTCGAAGGAAAATAAAATATGAAACTGTCGAGAAAAGTCCGAAAGAATTGACTTCTGAAGAAATTCGTGATGGCAAAACAAACATTTCCAATATGAAAAACGAACAATCAACAGCACAAATCTTGGAATCAAATAAAACAGATGATAGTATTCAGAAGGTGGGAAGCAAATTCGATGTGTTCAAATTGTTTTGCAAACTTTGTGATGTGATTGCATCGGTATCGAAGTACGCTGAGAAGACTGCAGCTGTTAAAATATTCATTAACAAAGGTATAGTCAAAATCTATCTATCTATCTATCTATCTATCTATATATATATATATATATATATATATATAAACCTATTATAAATTCAAGGATATAAAATTTAAGTATTTTTATTTCATCTCAAGCTTTGCATTTTACTCACGTAATAATGTTTAGGTTTTTGTGAATAGTGAATGAGAAATTTTCCCAAAAATTCGGTTTCTGTTTTACTCATTAGTACTCCACTTGATTTGTTGTGATCGCTCTTTAGTGCCATATTCACTAATATTGGATCTAAAAATATGTAAATGAGAGTTATCGATTGCTTACTTTTTTTACCAATATTTGAAAAACCGTTTGACTTAAAATTTTTAATCAGATAAGTCTTTCATTTCAGAAGGATATGATGGTGACTTATACTTATTGCTGAAATTTTTAATCCCAGAAGCAGATCAGCGAGTATACAATTTGAAAGCAAAACAGATTATAAAAATCTTTTCTGCTGTAAGTATAAAGATTTGAGATTTACTTTTGTTCTATACTGCTGGTTAAACTTTTGATTTGGGAAGAAAGTAAAAAATGCTTGGCTTTCAAAATCATTCGGATTTTATCAGCTGAACATTTTCATTAATTCTGTTCTTCCTCCATCTATGGTGAATATACCGAATTCAGAGCCATAATTCGATTTATGGTAATTATTTCGCCACTTCTCGTCTCTCAATTGATATTTTTCACAAGGAATAAACTGCTGTTGCTGCTTGGTTAAAGTGATCTTATATTTTTCTTTCTTTTGAAGCTCTTTGACTGGTCAGTTGACGAATTGACAGAATCATATAATCAAACAGGCGATGTTTCTGAGACGATATGTTCGTTTTGGTCGAAATTAGATAGTGATCGAAAAAAATCGAAAATAACAAATCAGATGGTAAGCTAAAAGTATGAATGGTTGAATCATTTGCTGAATCTAATTTTGTAGAATTATGATTTTGGTCCATTTTCGCTATAATCCACTTTTTTTTTTATCAAGTTCATAACAATTATTAACGTATTTACCTTTATTGGCCGAATGACTTTGTGATTTTTGTATGAAAATTACTAAAATGCAAAAAAAGTTTAGGTAGACGATTGGTTAGAAAAACTGAGTGAATTAACACGGGAAAAGGAGCAGCAAATGCACTTCTCGGAAATATGTAAATTGTTAGTTGTTTGTCAGTTGTTTCTTTGGAAGAATTGAATTCATCTTGTTTATATTTTGTACAAATGAATACAGTTTTTTTATTTCTCTTCCGTTAAAAGCAAAATAAGAGAGGAATAATTTTTTGAGATTATTTTATATTATCATGCTAGAGAAAAAACTGCTTTTATTCCAGTATAAGTAATTCAATTTCTATAATTGCAGAGTTTCATGCCTGGAGTTGAAATATATTATCCGTTTGATAATGAAAGACTTGCGGGTAAATGCGGGCGCAAAACATATGTATGTGTCAAACTAATCTAATGTTTAATGTATCAGTTTAACTTACGTCGATATTTCATTCTATCATATCCATACATTCTTCTAATAACACATTTTTTTTATATGAAAAGCACTAAAATTTGATGTTCATAACTAAAATTGCTATTTCGACTATTAGTTAGATGATATTATTTTTGATATTTAATGCTAGTGATTATAAATCATTTTTCTCTTTCAGGTTAGAAGGCTTAAAGAAAGGTGCGTATGAAATGTTTCAAAATTCACGAAATCTGCAAGGTGTCATTGAAAAATGTCAGTATACTGATAAAGAAAAGTTATTGGAAAGTGGTATAGTTTTGAATACACCAATTAAGCCTATGCTTGTAAGTTTTTGCGTAACAAACATTACGATTTGTATAACATACATCGTTCTATAACTTAAATTTACTATTAAAAGATTACATAACGATGAATAGACATGAAAAAAGTATAATAAAAAAGTTGAACAAATGAACAAAATTCAGAATTCTTCTCATTCTTCTTTTTTCTGCAAAGTCAAAATGAAGACTCTATTTTAGTAATTTTTATACCAAAATCTTTCCTAAAGAATGTTTTTTGGATTAAGTTAGTGTTATAAGTTAACTGACCAAATTTATTAAGGCTGAACCATGCCGAAGTATTAAACAAGCAATGGAAAAATGTAACAAAGAAATGTATGCTGAAATCAAATATGACGGAGAAAGATTGCAATTGCATAAAGATGGTAGCAAATTCATGTTTTTCTCACGATCATTGAAACCAACAGTAGACCACAAGGTTTTCCTATGAATTTTGATAAGGATTGCTTTCAGGTTCAGCATTTGTATATAAAATTGTAAGAAGGAAATATTTTATTAGAAAGCAACACTAAATGTTTGTAAATTTTCTCTCATATTTGTACTTTATTAACTTCAATCTTGATCGTTTGAATGATCGATGTTAAAAAATTCATAATTTTTTCGTTTTTTAGGTGGTCGATCTGAATAAAATAGTCTCAGAGGCATTTCCAACAAGTAGAGATTTAATTGTTGATGCAGAAATGCTACTGATTGATACAAATACTGGAAAACCGTTACCTTTTGGAACATTAGGTATCCATAAAAAGAAGCAATTCAAGGATGCAGCAGTTTGTTTATTTGTTTTCGATTGCATATATTACGATAGCAATTCGTTAATAGAAAAGTTAGTGTCAAATAGTTTTGTTGGGGAATGATATAACTTCAATTGTTAAGCATCATTTTTTAATATACTTCAATATTCAGATCATTGGAAAGTTGTTTTCTATGTTAAATGCAAGTTATTAAGATGATGTAGTTATCAGAAAAAAAAGTTGTGATCAAAAAGTTACAAATCAAATGTTCTTTTTTAGGTCATTAAGGGAAAGGCGAAAATTTTTGGAGGACAATATGAAGGAAATTCCAAATCGTGTATTATTATCCAGTTGTCATCTTATTAAAAAAGGAGTAAGCTGTGTTTGTTTTCCTTTTGCTAATCATCATCATACTTGGCTTTATAACATTTGCATCATGTTTTATATAATTACAGGAAAATGATAAGTTAGAAATTTTGATCTCGAAAACCATTGATGAGGGTCTAGAAGGTTTGGTCTTAAAAGATTTGGATTCAATTTATGAACCTGGAAAAAGGCATTGGTTGAAGGTATATTCTATAATTTTTGAGAGAATATTATGATCTTTTTCCACAATGAGTTTAGTTTTAGAAATTTTGAAGATTTTTTGCAGATAAAGAAAGATTACCTGCAAGGAGGTGATATGGCAGATACAGCTGATCTCATTTTACTTGGTGCTTTTTATGGGACAGGAAATAAAGGTACTTATTTCTTTCTCCTTTCTCTAACTTTGTTCGTCTTAAATGAATACTTATTTTTATCATAAGATTAATTTTTCATAATATAGTGGTAGTATTGTAATTACAATACTACTCTTTTATAAATAAGTATTTTATACGCTAAACAGACTAACATTCATCATTTTAATCAATTTTTTGTATTTTACTATTTTTATTTTTTTGTTATTTTTAAAGGCGGTACAATGTCAGTGTTTTTAATGGGTGTGTATGATAAGGAGAAGCAGAAATTTTGCACAGTAACCAAATGTGGCAACGGTCATGATGATGCTACACTAGAACGTATCAATAAAGAATTAGAACCAAAAGTAATCAATATTTCATAAATCTTTTTTCTTATATTTATTTATTGATTTTGTATGATTTTTTGCTCGATACTAATTTGTTAACATATCATATTTGTTTAAAAAATTTTCCACTAATATTTGTGATCAGAATTTTTATTATTTTCCTCTTATTAATCGATATATTTTATTAAGATGAATAAGATATCACGGAAATATGAAAATTTACCGGAATGGATTGAATGCTCTCGATCGCTTGTTCCAGATTTCATTGTTATGGATCCAAAAGAATCACCAGTATGGGAAATTGCAGGTATTTTCAATTGTAACACAAATAAGCTCATTTTTATTTTCTTTCAACAGATAAAAAATTTAACATAGAATTTTCTTTTAGGAGCAGAATTTACACGATCAGATAATCACACAGCATCAGGTATATCGATACGTTTTCCGAGAGTAACAAAAATTCGAGACGATAAAAATTGGGAAACGGCTACTAGCTTACAAGAACTTGAGGTAATTTTGTAATACACTCAATACACAATAACTAATTATTATAACGAAACAAAGAAAACATTTTTTGGTGTGATATTTATTTTGAATCTTAAAATTGCTAAATTTTTACTAAATTTTAGCATCCTATTATCTGACATTGCGAGTTTCCTGACTGTAATATTAACGTAGAAACATGCATACTACATTGTTTTATTTCAGAATTTCTAATGTTAAACTTAGACTTCAATTATTAAGTAAATCTGGACTCGAATTTAGAGAACTTGAACCTTTTTTCCTTAATGTATGCAAGCGAGCGATTCGGGCGACTACGAATATCTATCTTCATTTTCTTGTTTTTGGTTATACAATATCTATCATAATTACATCTAATCATCTTTAATTTAGAAACTTTTGGAACTTTCGAAAACAAAAACCGATATTAAGTCAGAAATTGATAGTGCTGAATCTCTTGACACAAACGACAAAATTGATGCAGAAGATGACAGGGAAGCTTCAATAATAAGAAAAAGAAAACGAGAAGCAATTAGCGATAATTCTAAAAATGATGAACAAGCAGCTAGTGATGAGGAAACAAAAACGAAAAGAGCAAAAATACCATGCAAGTAAATATGTTTCACTCGTACCTTCTTCTCCTATGCACGAGTTGATTATTTTATGACAAAAAAATTTTTTTGACTTTTTTTTTTAATAATTTTACTTTTTTCAAAATTGTTTATGATTAGTGCACTTTTCATTAATTTTTATCCATTAATTTGTTTATCCATTAATTTTCAAATTATTGATATTAAATATATGTATAAATTTTGGATATGGTGCACAATGTTATCGAAAGAATGTGGAACATCGAAAGCAATTTGAACATCCGAAATGAGCTATTACGACTGAAAAATTATGCATGTTTCTCTTCTCTATAATTCTCTTACTGATTTTATCACTATGAAATTTTACGTATTGTCAGTTTGTAATTTTCATTATTTTCATACAAAATATGTATAGCAATATTTTTGATTTAAAATCATTTTTTTTTTCTTTGTTTCTTTAGCTTAGTCCACTTAAATTACCTTACTATCAGCGGCAATTATGGGAGCTAATTGGACTCTATTTTATTTCACATTCATAGAGATAACTCTTTCTTATAAATGCAAAGAATTATTTATATGAAAAAAAAGAAAACAAAAAAAAAAACAAAACAAATTCAGAAGTTCTAGAATCATTATTTAATTGAAATTCTAGTGTTAAAAAAGCGGAAACATATATGCTTTTTTTTTCTAAGTTCTCATCAATAAACATTCATTAAGGTTGGAAACTTTTAAAGTAACTAGGAAGTGCTGATGTTGCCGGTGATTAGTGCTTTATAAAATAGCTTTACATTAGTTGCTTTATGCTTCATTATTTGAGTACCAGTGCTGTTATGTGCTTTATTTTGATACAGTTTTACTATTGATTGCTACAATAACATCAAATTTATGTTATAATTTCTCGAAATTATACATTCGAAATTTGAATCGTAGTAATTTTGATGTTATCTTTAGTTAGGAAACATTTTTTGTTATTTCTCAATTATCCCTTCAGTTCAAAAATTAGAATTGGTTTAAAAGAACATTGCAAATCTTGATAAATGGATTTTTGGTTATGATATGGAAGTGAAGAAAGGATGAAATGATAGACTAAAAGATTTTTTTTTTGCTACAATTCATGATAAAAAATAATACTTTAGAGTAAATGCTCGAAAAATTTACATCTTAATTTAAAATTTATTAACTTTTGACTTACTTTTGATGGAAAATTAAATGCTTTTATTGTACATAGAAATTTTAATTACTATAAAAATCACAATTTGCAAATTTATTTGGAGAATTTCTTGCAGTTGTTAATGTATGCCATGCAGAAAATGATGTATTTGGTGTGGTAAATATTCGCTTCCAATGTTGTATACCTGTTGAATTTCCCTGTGGACCAATTACAAAATGACCAATTTCATCGGCTTTTTTCGTATCTTGACAAACCTAAAATGCAATATTTCTGATGCAAGCTGTTAAGTTAAGTTTAAGTAGTAGTAATTTATATCACAATGCTTATCACATTGATAATTTTTTTATATTATATACATTAATATAAACAACGAGAAGCGCTGTGGAAAAGAAAAAAGAAAATATAACAAATTTCGTACATACATAAATGATAAAATAATTCTTATCATTAGCAATGAGAAAACGATTATTATCATTACTTTGTGATATTACTATTAGTTATAGTAATTTATGATTAAAATTGCTACTGTTAAATATTTATAGTGATAAGAAATTAATTTGTCATTGATGTACAATTCCAGAAAAAAAATCTGTTATAATTGTTTAACAACTAGTATCTGAATTTCTAGTTATAAAGAAATTAATTAATTTCTGATATTAGAAAGGTGCATTTAATTCCCATCGTTTCTTTTTTTAATTAAATAGCATGTTAATTATTTCTGCTTAGTTTTGAATATTTAACCATTTCAAAATATATAATTTTTTTTTTTTTTTAATTTAACAAAAAAACCTTAATGAGAAGATTAGCATCGTTAGAATAAAACATTGCAAATGGTACATCAAATTCCATCGTTTTTTTGAAATTAATTTTTGATGTTAAACGTTTACTGGTTGTTTCATATTTTTCCAATATTCTACAACTTTGTAACAGTTGAACAGTAAGGAAAATATCTGCAAAAATAAGATTTCTTATTTTGTTTTTCTTTCTCTCTCTCTCTCTCTCTCTCTCTCTCTCTCTCTCTCTCTCTCTCCCTCTCCTTATTCTCTCACTTGTTTAGGAAATTTCAGCTTTAAATGAAATTAACGGTCAATGAAATGATCAAAATTGTAAATTATCCAAAAAGAGAAAAATGAATTATATATAATTAAATTTTATTTTAATTTGTTTACACTATCATAAAATGATTATCAAAAATCATTCTGAAATGTTTTCAAAATTATCAAATCAACAAATATATGCCAAAAATTGATTGTATAAAATAAACAAACAAAAAATCTACCGCAATTATGTCTTCCAATAATATCTTTAGCTTGTAAAAGATCAACAATCAATTTATTTTTGATAAAATGATATCGTAATGTTAGCAATACTCTTCCAACAATATTCTACAAATTTTAAATGTTATTAATAAATTATCAAAAAAAAGAAAATAACATTTTTTTTATTTGGTTTATTTTTCTTTCTTTTCTTATTTTGTCTTATCTTTTTTTCTTGTTTTTAGAAATGAAAATGATAGATTTCTTACTTTTTTTATCGTTTTTTTTTTTTCGAAAATTTAGGAAAAAAAAGATTTCAATTATACAATTTCAGCTATTTTTTAATTAATAGAAATAATAATTAATATTAATTTAAATTATTGCTTAAGTTAACCTTTGAGAATGGTTGAACAGTATGCAATGGTACCACTGTTTGGTGTAAATGTTGAAGTACCATTGGTGTATGATTTGTTGATCTATCCGTATTAGCTATTGTTGGTAGAAATATTGCACAAAACGGATCATTGTCATCATTTTTGTCCAATAAATGCATTAGCATTGCTAATGTATCCGTTGAATCCATCTCTTGTCCTTTATTTTTAATAGAATAGCAATAATAATATTTACTTTTTTTTTTTCATTTATTATTATTTTATAATTTTTATTGATAAATATTATTAGCAAAAATAAAATATTTGTTAATGTTTTTTTTAATTTCTTATTAATTGTATAATATTATTTTATTTTTTGTATATGTTTATATTAATACTATAATTATTAGATAATTGCATACATACATGGATAATTTAATTGGAATAAATATTTATAAGAAATGAGTTACTGTTGACAAATTAAATAAATTAGAAAATATATTTGTTTATTAATTTCTCTTTTAAAATATGTAAATGTTTCTTCTTTTTTTTTTTTTTTTTTTTTGCTAATTATGTATGTATGAATTAATCTTTAATAATTAATAAAAATTTTACAGAAATATGCATAATTATAAAATAATGCTATATTCAAAAGAATTTCTCAAATAATAAATATAAATTTAAAAAAAAAATTATTGTTAATTTATTAATCATATCTAAGAAAAATAAATAATTTACTTTTATGATGCGGTAATGGTGATATACTACTTTTTCTTGATGGAAATCTTGGAGCAGTAATTAATCCACGACGATCTAATAATGACATCGATCGAGTACCACGATGAACATGATGATGATGATGATGATGATGATGATTGTATTTTGAATTTGAATTTCTTTGTCGATTATGTTGAAAATTTAAAAAACCATGCATCATTGATTCATCTGATACAAAGCTATCCATAATAATCTTAAAAAATAAGTTTTTTTTTTCACATTTAAATTAATTCTTTTAAATTATTTAATAATAATACAATTTCTTAACCATATTTTAATAACATTCAAATAAATAACACTAATAATTATTGATGTGTAAAAGTAGAAATGAAAATTTATTTTATAATTTTTAATTGCATTTTTTTTTTTTTTTTGAAATGCAGAATTGAAAATATGATCTGCAATTTCTTCACTAAATTATCAAATAAAAAATCATTTTAATTAACTTAATAATAATTTTTAGTTCTGTACAATTATTTTGATTTTAGATATGAATATTTAATGTACAAATTTTTACTGATCATTATCTTATTTAGTTATTAAATAATTTAATTGATTGGTATATAATCATATAATCATCTACTAATTAGTTTAAAAAAAAAAATTTTCAAAATTTAATCGAACCTTTAAACAATTTTAGTATTAATGTTAATATGAAAACGAATATCAAAATAAATGTGATATACTGACCAATTGACATATTTTAATTCTTTACAAAAAAAAAAAAAAAAGGAAGAAGAAAAAGAAATAAAATAAATATGTTTATAAAATAATTGAAGAATGCTAAGATAAATATGAAATGAATTAGACGGAAATTTTTCACAAAAATGATTATTTTTATAAATAACAACGAAAACGGAAATATGCAATAATATTGTGAGTTAGCTTAATAGAAATGCAAAAAGGTGGAAATAATTCACACTCAAATAAATCATATAAATTTGTTTTGAAGTAAAATTTAGCATAACATATTTAAATTATTAAGTTATTTAATATTTCTATATTAAATTATCATCACTTTTATATCTTAGCAAAATAATGAAAGTAAGTTATATTAGAATTCTATGATAGTTAAAAGGTATAAAAAAGTAATTAAATTAAATATCAAACTTTGTATGGCAATTTAAGAGATATGAAGAAAGTAACTGAAGCAAAGAAGAAATGAATTAAATTAAATTAAAAGTTTAAAAATAACTTAAATTGTGGCAAAACAATGAGAAAATGCTATATTATCAGTTAATAAAAGGTAAAATATAAAAGAAGTAATAGAAAAAAAATGCCTTTAATCAATTCTAATTAATTAATTTGTAATAAAATAATAATTTTAATGTAAAATAATAGAAAAAAATGCCTTTAATCAATTTTAATTAATTAATTTGTAATAAAATAATAATTTTAATGTAAAATGTGAATGAAAAATGAAATAAATTATTAATAATATTGCTAATTGGAATTGGTAAAAAATGAATAAAACATTAAAATAAATTTTAATTCATTGGAATTACAAAATGAAATTATGTTTAGATTTTTGAAATAAAACATAGATTTTAATAATTATTAAACTATTCTTTACTTTTTCTCCTATTGCATTTTCATTTAAGCATATTCTGGATTTGATTTATCAAATAGCAAATAAATTTTGCATAAAATTATCATAAATTTTATAGCTAAATTTGAATAAATAAATTATCATTTCTATCAGTTCAATGATAAATAAATTATTCTAAAATGTTAAAAATTCTGTTTTCTTATTTAATATTTGAAAAAAAAAGGACTGAAATCATTTCTTTTAATCCAAATTTTAAAAAATGAAAAGAAGTTAATACTTTCAATGATTTACGAATTCTTTTGAAATTAATTCTTTTGATTTAACTTTCAAAATTTAACTTTCAAATTATTATAATGTAATTTTTTTTTTTTTTGATTATAATATAATTATTTCTTCTATTCTTGCTATCAGTTAATTTTTTGATTGTATTTGAAAGTTAAACAAAAAATATTTTTTCTTTCCTTTATTGAATTTAATCATTTCTTCCCAACGCAAATCTCTTCCTGCGGTAATAATTATTAAAGAAATATTTATTAATCAATTTCGCATTATCATAATTTTGTCAATGTATTAAAAAGAAAAAAATTATAAGACTATACTAATCGATGATTTGTCATAATATTATATTTGTTATCATATCATATCATATCATATCATTATCAATATCAAACTAAAAATATTATATCATACCAGCTGTTTTCTTTTTTTTTTACATGCATATTTTGTGTTAAATTTAAATTACCAACAAATTAGTTTACCTAAATTAACTTAACATTTGCTAAATAGAAATGATGCGGAATTTTTTGAAAAATTATATATGAGAAAAAATAAATAAAGGAAATAATTTAATAATACAAAATAAAAGCAAAAATATAAAATTACTAATATATTTTACTGATAATTCATTTTAATTACTGAATAATAATAAATTACTGAATAATAATAAAATGTGCTATAATTATTGATTACTAATAAAATATACTGTAATTTTTTGTACTTAAATTAGAATTTGCAGTGTATTTTTACTAATAAAATATACTGTAAAATTCTGATTTTTTTTTAAATTATTTTTTTACACTTAAAAAGAAAAAGTAAATAAATTTAAAAGTAATTATTTTATTTTTGTGAACAAAAATGAAAAAAAAGTATGGTTTTACTGTTAACAAATTCATTATGTAATGTTGCATTCATCATAAATAGTAAATATTACTTAAACATTTCAAAGTTTTACTTTGTTTGGCAAAAAAAAAAAAAACAGGCAAAAAGTTTTTTTTTGGTTTTTTTTTTGAATTAATTGCTGAAAATTTTAATTAAAATTAGAATTACTTATTAGACTTAAGTAATTCAACTGACTTTACCATTTATACCATTCGTAATGCTAAAATTACTAAAATAATTATATTTTTTATAGAAAAATATTTCAGGCTAATTATTTTACATTGCTATAGCATATTTTAACGATTGAAAAAGAAAAATATTTCAATCTAATTAATTTTATATTTTAAAAGTATATTTTAATAATATTTCATTGTAATAGAATAGTTATTTATTTGCTTATTCTTCCAACTTTGTTATTTTTCTTTTGCTTCGTTTTTTTTTTTTTTTAAAAAAAATTTTTTTCATTTTCTTCCATATATCCCTAGGGTAAATGAATTGGAAGCAATTTATTCTTTTTTCTTTCTTTTTTTTTTGTTTTTGTTTTTGGATTTTAAATAAAAAAAAAAGAAAGTATTTTTTCAATTGCTTTAGCTTTAATTTTTTCTTTTTTCTTTTTTTTTTGCATTCGATAAATATTTTTAGCATATCAAAAAGTACGGATAACATTGAATATTTTCTATAAATATATTTTTTTTTCGTTTTGACTTTTTTTTACATTTTTACAACATTTGTTTTATTTAAAAATTTTGTTTGAATTAGCAAAAAACTTTTTTATTTTTTTATTTTATAAAAGTAAGCAGTAGGATTAGTATTGCGTTACTTTCTTATTCAGTTAGATTAATATTTGGTTACTTTCATTCCCATTTAGATTAGACTAAGATATGTATTTGGATTATTTTATTATCCATTTGGATTAACATTTGAATTTCTTTTTTTGCTACTTGAAAATTAACCAAAAAAAAAAGAAAAGAAAAATGAAAAAGGATGTCAGCTTTGATAGCATTTATTTTATTAAATTCCCTATTAATTATCATATCTGTCACATTCATAGTATTACTTAAAATAAAAGCAATTAAAATTAAAGTTTCAAAATATTCTAATGAATAATTTATAATCACAACAAATATATGATTAAATATCCAATAACAATCATATCATATCATTATCAAAAGAGTGATAATTTACCTGAAAATTAAATCATTTAATTTTTCATCACATACTATATTTGCCGGTATGTAAATTTAAATCCAAATAATTTATTCTAATTTTAATTATACCAATTAATTTAATTATAATAATAATACATCGATGTTGAGATTCATCTTGCATAACAAATACCACATTTTATAATATAAATTAAATATGATTACTCCAATAAATAAATGATAAAAAGACTATCCTAAAATTTCATTCCAATTTATTACAGCGTTCATATCCCACTCTAATGATATTTGCTTACAGTGTTATTATAATATGGAGTGGATAATAAAAAGTCTGAGAAAGCCGATAATAAACAGAGAGAGAGGGAGAAGGAGAGAAAGAGATGAAAATAATTAGATATATGATCAAATTTAATTATATTAAATTCATTTTAATTCTTAATTTTTATTAAATTATAATTTAAAATGCTGAACAGAAAAAGATTAGAAAAAAAGCAAAAAAAAAAAAAAAAGAGAAAAAGAATAATAAACTTTTTGGGAAGATTACTTTTTCTTGTTGTTATTATTTTGCATTTGGACAAAGATTGAATAACATTTAGAAATAACTATTGCCATCTTTCACATCTCTTTCTCCCTCTCTCTTTCTCTCTCTCTCCCTCTCTCTCTCTTTCTCTCTCTCCCTCTCTCTCTCTCTTGCAAAAAATCAACTTATTTATTTGTGGAAGTAAAAAGTTCGGAAAAAAAAAGTTGTTTTGAGCAATAATAAAATTTACATTAACTTCTTTACTGAAATGATTTTTATTTTTCATAAAAATTCAATTTTTTCATTGAATTTTTTATAAGCAATTTTATTTTCAAAATTATCAAAGAAATATTTTGCTATAAATTAATTATTAATTCAAAAAAAAAAATGTTATTTTATACATTTTATACGTTCCATTCTTACTTTCAAATAAAAAAAAGCTAAATTTGGAGCTTTCTAAGTTAAAAAAGATGTTAAAAGATCTGAATAATTATTAAAAAATAAGAAAAGATGACAGAGAATTACCTTTCTCTTCGTTTCTCTCTCTCTCCCTTTCTGTCTTAAAGATTTAAAATAACATTTATTATTATTTAATTACAAATTTTATTTCTAAAATTTGTGGTTTTTTTTTTTTTAAAATGAGCCAAAAATGAAAAAAAAAAAACCTTTGAGCTATCTTTTGAAATACTAAAAATTTTTTCATAGAAATCGTATATTAAATGAGAATTCTCGAAATATTTGATTTAAATTAACTGAAAATGAAAGGAAAT